ATCTAAGGCACCAGAGCTCTCAAAATTTTTGGATGAATAGTAACTACGAATTTGAGATCACACATAGGAGATTGTTTGTAGTTTTTGTTAAGAAACAAGCCTATGATTAATGAAGAACCCAAATATGGCTTAAGGAACAAATTTCATCAAAGATTGACTAACCATTGAGAAGAAATCACAATATTTTGAAATCATGAAAAACCTAGGTCGAAATCTTCAATCTCGAATCTGTCAAAATTTTATAGTTTTTGCTCAAATCTAATCTATTTAATGGATAAATCTTGAGAAAGTGTATCTGTGTAAAATTTGCACTCAAATGGGTGAGTTTTAGGCTAATAAATGAACAAAAAAGGGCGACAGATTTCTTTCTCCCTCATATTTTAGGGCCCTCAACAAGGTTCACCTCCAAGTTTTACGGTGTTATAGGCTTGGAACCCTGCCACGCCCAAGCACGTCAGGCGAGTCCAAGTCGACTCAATCAAGTATGCGACAGTCGACTCAATCAAGTATGCGACCACCATCATTAAGTATTTACCAATATCTAGAAATCTTGGGTTGTGTTAACAGAATTTGTTTAATTGAAACCATGTGTCTAGTGTTCCATCAGATTGAACCTCGGGCTAAGAGCTGCTTGATGAATCTCCCTTAGAAGGCTTAAAAAAAATGTACATGAGATAGCAAGGTGTTAGAAGATCACATTGTGATATTCCATGTATGATATTTAGTAATGAAGATTTCCATGCATGGAATGAATGTTTTTAGCTTGTATTAGGGGTAGAGATAATTAGCGTAATTAGTGCTTATGCACCACAAGTAGGATTAGAGAATAGAATTAAGAGACAATTTTGGGAGGACATGGATGGAATAGTTCAAGACATACCAAATGGAGAGAGGACCTTTTTAGGAGGGGACTTAAATGGTCATGTAGGGAAGGATAGTAGAGGATATGAAGGGGTACATAGGAGAAATGGGTTTAGGAAAAGTAATGAGATGGGTGGGGCTATTCTAGATTTCGCTATGGCTTATGACCTAGCAATAGCAAACACTTACTTTAAAAAGCGAAATAAGCACTTAATAACTTATAAAAGTCGATCACATAAAAGCTAGACACAGTTCTTCATAGTGAAGAAGGTAGATCGACCATCATGTAAAGACTGCAAGGTTATCCCAGGAAAGAGTTTGAGTACCCAACATAGGCAAGTGGTTATGGATATCTGCATAAAGGCATCGAAGAGAATGGGTGAAAGCAATGGTTATCCAAGAACTAGGTTGTGGAATTTTCAAAATGAGAAAAAAGACTTCTTTAGGGATAAATTAGTTAGAGAAGGAAAACGAAACTCTGAATATGAGATCAATATTATGTGGAATGAGATGGCTGACTGTATTAAGAAAGTGGCAAAAGAAGTTTTAGGAAAATCTAGAGGGAAAAGAAATTCTGATAAGGAAACTTGGTGGTGGAGTTATGTGGTTCAGAAGGATATTAACGAAAAACTATCATGTTATAACTTGGAAGTGTAATAAAAATGATCAAAACTTAGAAGAATATAAAAAAGTTAAGAAAAACGCTAAACAAATCGTAAGGCCAAACTTAAGACAAATGATAACCTATATAGTATAATAAAAACGAAAAAAAGGTGAAAATATGTCTTCAAATTAGCAAATATGAGAGAGAAAAAGTGTATGGATCTAGATCATATTAATACATTAAGAGTAACGATCAAAGTGTCTTGGTGAAGGATGACGAGGTCAACAAAAGGGGAAGAGTTTATTTTCAAAAATTATTAAATGACGAACACAATGGGAACATAGCGGTAGAAGGAACCGTTGGCATAAATTGGAGCGGAGGTCATAGATACATTTGTAGGACTAGGATATCAGAAGTGAAAGAAGCTTTGAAAAGGATGAAGATAAGAAAGGCTTTAGGACTAGACAGTATCCCGATGGAGGTTTGGAAGTGCATGGGGAAGATTGGCACTGACTGGCTGACCAAGTTGTTCAACAAGATGTTCAGAACAAAGAAAATATTAAAAGAATGGAGGAATAGTATTGTAGTACCTATTTACAAGGATAAAGGAAACATACAGAATTGTACGAACTATCGAGGGTCAAACTTATGAGCCACACTATGAAGCTTTGGGAAAGAGTGATTGAGCAGTGACTAAGCTTTGGGAAAAGTATTGTGGTACCTATTTACAAGAATAAAGGAGACATACAGAATTGTACGAACTATCGAGGGCTCAAACTTATGAGTCACACTATGAAGCTTTGGGAAAAAGTGATTGACCAGTGATTAAGGCATGAAATGAGTGTATCAGAAAACTAATTCAGTTTTATGCTAGAGAGGTCAACAATCAAGGCTATTTTCCTACTTAGGCAACTAATTGAAAAGTTTAAGGCAAAGGGAAAAGACCTCCACATGATCTTTATTAATCTAAAGAAAGCTTATGATAGAGTACCTCGATATTTGATTTGGTGGGTTTTGAAAAAGAAATGAGTCTCTAGACAATAGATCGGCTCGGTGAGAGATATGTACGATGGAGCGCTAACTAGCGTACAAACAACTGTGGAGAGACAAGTGAGTTCTCAATGACAATAGGTCTACATTAGGGGTCGGCATTGAGCTCATACCTCTTTGTCTTAGTTATGGAAGACTTAACTAGGCACTTACAAGATGAGGTACCGTGGTGCATGTAGTTCGCAGATGACATAGTTTTGATTGATGAGACTCGAAACGGCAACAATACAAAGTTAGAACTTTGGAGGGATGCTCTAGAATCTAAAGGTTTTAAAATTATCCGGACTAAGACAGAATATATGGAATGCAAGTTTATTAATAATAGGAGTAGAGACAAGGAAGTAGTTAAGATTAACTGTCAAGAAATACCCAAAAGAGCGCACTTTTGATATCTTGGGTCTATAATCTAGGAAAATGGAGAGATTGGAGAAGATGTCACACATAAAATTTTTCATAAAATTTATGTAAAATTTTATGAAGTTGAAAGGCAAGTTCTATAAGACAACTATGAGACCAGCTTTGCTCTATGGGGTTGAATGTTGGGCAGTTAAAAAACAATACCCTCATAGAATGAGTACAACAGAGATGAGGATGTTGAGATGGATGAGTGGCAGACAAGAAGGGATAGAATTTGAAATGAATACATTTGAGAAAATTTAGGTGTGGCACCAATAAGCAATAAGATGGGAGAGAGTAGACTTAGGTGGGTCGGCCATGTGTGGCATAGACTCAGGACAAAACCTATTAGGAGGTGCGAGTTAATTAAAGTAGAAGGCTCAAAAAAGGCAAGGGGTAAGCCCAAAATGACATGGTTGGAAGTAGTGAGAAAAGATATGGGATCTTATGACCTCACTGAAGGTATGACCTTTAATAAAGCAGAATGATAGACTAAGATTCATGTAGCCGACCCCAATTAGTTGGGAAAAAGCTTTGACGATGACGATGGCGATGATGATGGTGATGATGATCATGATGATGATGGTGCTGAGAATTTGCATGCATGCCATTTTGGCCCTATTTTCTTCCTTTTCTTTGTAACTAAATAACTTAATAAGTGGTGTTCCTTTGTAAGTTATGGTTTCATTGGTTACACAAACATGGATAGAATAACAAGGAAATCTTAAAATTGGAAGTTCTTCAATGGAAAGCAATGTTCTAAAACTCGGCTCGGGCCTTGGACTCGGTTGTGCCCCGAGCTGAGTTACTCAGCCTAATCTGAGTGGACCCGGTTGAGTCCTACACAATATCAATATAGGCCTAAAAATCCAAGAAGATTTATTAAAAAAAAATTATAAAAACAATTAAAATAATGGAAATCATTAAAAGTTACTGAAAAGATTATATAAAAGATGGATTATCGGAGAAATTGATTTATACCTTGAAATATTTTAGAAAAAACAAAAACAAAAATAAAAAATAAAACAAATCAAAGCATATAATAAGAAAGTTCACAAATCCTCATAAAACCTAAAAGTATATAGAAACATATGTCTAAATCATATACTAGCATTTTAAACCAAAAATTGTTATCTTTTAAGGGTTATTAAGTCAGGTGAATTTTTTTTTTGGGTAGATAAGTGGGGAATACAGACCCCTACCCGTTTTTAGAAATAATTAGCGGTTTTCGAATGGGTCAGTGGGAATGAAAACCTAGACCGGTAGCTAAGGCTCAAATGGTGCTACTACCAAGACGTCAACCCCATTCCCATTAAGTTGCGTGAGTTTGGCACATAAACTCGCAGTACTCGGTCGAGTCCGAGCTAACTCAGTCCAGTCCCTGAACACTGATAGAAAGCGATATACCTTTTAGATGTAATTTATGGAAAGAACATGCATTTTTTTTTAGGGTAATTTAATGGGGATGACGAGCCCCTACCCGTTTTTTAAATCATTAGTGGTTTTTTAATGTGTTAGGTGCGAATGGAAGTGCAGACCTTAACTGCAGCACAAGTGGTGCTACCACCACGACCCCAACCCCATCCTCAAAGCACATGTATTTACACCACAATGTTCCTCTGCCTAAAATTTACTACTGTATAATATCTGTATGGATAACAGTGCTCAGAGGGAGAAAGTGCCCTTCAAAGATGAGCAATATTTCTACGATTTCTATATAGCCCCATTTAAGAGAACGCAGGTCCCCCATTTCACTATTTGCAAAACCTTATGTTATAGAAGCTAAGGAAACCTAGGGCATAAACCTACAATCAACTCAGAAGAAAACAAACACAGAAATGTTCAATCAAGAAGGAAGCTAGGAAGTACTTTAATCCATATACAAAATACAACCAAATCATCCATTACGTGCCACAAACAACATCAGTAACCAAAAACACTAGAGCCGCATCAAATTCTAAAACCACGAATTCAAATTGAATTCAATACTTTGAGAAACCCAGATAAGTGGTAAGCAGATTGAATTCTATGTTAAAGGAGTAAATATGTGAGAGTTAGAGAGAGAGAGAGAGAACGAGGGAGAATTTACCAGATGGGAAGAGAGAGGGGGCGAGAGGCGTTGGCCGAGAAATGCGGAAGAAGAGAGAGAAAGAGAGGTCATGGCGCACTGCAGAACAGCCATGGCTGCCATTTCGTCTGGTATCGCGACTGTTGGATAACACGGGTAACGTGTTCGAATTTTCCTGTGTTCGCTCTTTCTTTATCGATTTTTATAGAGATCATATATATACTACGCAAATATTAATCTTTTAAGGAAAAATATACATGGACGCGGTTAGCATGCGGCCAATCCCGCACATGTAGAAATGCGGTCTTGGCAATAAATATATTTTTTTAATATAATTTGATCCTAATTTTTAAATAATATATTATTTTTAACTTGGAGAACATGAATATGAAAAAAAAATTGAAAAAAATAATAATAATTATATTAATTAAACATTTGGATACAATTGTTTTTAGATGGGGTCCATCTGATGGACCACCTATTTGCATCCATCTTTAAGATGGATGCTTTATACCTCCGGACCACATATGATAGAAATGTGGTCCAACTCGTATGAAACAATGGTTCAATATATAAAAGAAAAATAAAAAAAAATAAAAAAAAAGACCATATTACACTTTCTATGCAACTTATCCCCAACCCAACTTTTTCTCTCATTTTTTTTCTCCAAAATACACTTTCAATACAAATACCCCCAACCAAATAAAAAATAAAAAAATACCTAAACTATCCTCCCTTACTTTTACCTTAACCACACCTCTCCCTTCTCTATGCCACCAAAATAGGGGCTTCAACACTGTCTAAATGCGGTCCGGTAGTAGGGTTCTGGCACTATGTAAAATGCGGTCTGGCAATAGGGCTTCGACACTGGCGCTCCGGCACTATGTAAAGTGTGATTCGGCAGTAGGGCTTTGATACTGTATAAAGTGTTCTTCGGTAATTTCAAAGGGCGGTCCGGCAATAGATGTTACTGGATTCTAGGGCTCTTGGCACTATGTAAAGCGCGGCATGGTTGTACTCAATTTCGGTTCGATAGTTGTATTAGGGCAGTCCGGCACTTATGCGCTCTGGCAATGTGAAGGTGCGCTCTAGCACTATGCTACTGGGGTCCAAAAATCAATGTCAAATCTGGAGCAAAGTGATTTTTGTGTGCAGGAAAGGCATTTCCATCTAAAAAGATATATTTTTTCCCTTAGAGGGGTATTTGCATACAAAATTTGTTTGGGGAAAAAAGTGGGAAAAAAAGTTAGGTTGGGGGTAAGTTGCATAGAAAGTGTGGTTTAGGAACTTTTTTGTTAATTTTCCCATATATAAACCCCATTTACAAGGAGGTCATAATTACGCTTGTCCATCACATTGACTAGACTCAAAGTTCAAAAAATGTTTCTCGAACTTCATAACATATCTCAAGCCATCCAATTTAAGATCTAATAGCTAGGTGTAATTATGACCTTCTTGTAATAAAGATAAATGGTGTCATTGTATATAATCCCTTATCTATGTTACAAGTAAGTGATATGTATTTTTAGTCATTAGATGCCAAATTGGATAACTTGAGATGTGTCACAAACTTCAAGATATTCTTTTGAAACTTTGAGTCAAATCAATGATAGTCTTATTTCCACCATATTTGATATCTAACAAATAAAAATAATTATAGCTCCTTATACCAAAAATAAAATGGTGTTTATGTAAACAGAAAGGCGTTTTAATGAGATCGTTTGAGGCTTTCATGGCTGCTAGCCAGGATTGAGAAGGTTGGTTTTTAGGTGAAATCCAGTAGATGACACATAGTGTGCACTTCGCACAGGTAACATTATTGTAATTTCAAAATATTATTATGTTTTCAAATTCCTCTTTTTTCAATTTGGTATTTAAGCCTTGTTAAAATAAAAAATGGAAAGAGTATATAATGAAATAGAATGTATTATAGATGATGAAAATAATAGACATACATGTCATATAAGAATAGGATATGAAAGTTTAGTTTCTATATTTGCTGCTTTAAATTTTTTAATAGACTTATATTATGAAATAAAAAATAAAGTTAAAACCCTAGAAAATAAGATAGAAAAGATAGAAAAAATACAATTAGAAGTAGGGCAATAGAAAACACAGATCTTGCAGAGGAAACTAAAGATCTTTTAATAAATACAAAATAAGTTTCGTTAGAATATATAGATCGAGGAAATATAAGACGATCAGGTTTTTATAGTACCCTATACAATTTAAAATAATTAAAAATAGTTAGATTAGGAGAAATTTATAATGAAGGATGTAGTTGGGAAAATGAGGGTGAAGATGACAATATTTACCGGTGAAAAATCCCTGAGAAAAAGAAGCTGGAAATTCATAATTTTCTCTATTTGATTTAAAAACTATAACCTCAATAGAAATGAGTGAAGGGATTTCAAAGGTATCAGAAAATAATGAAAAAAGTTTAATGATTTCAACGCTTGATAGCAAAAAAATAAAAAAATTATAGGAGTCAAGGACGTAAGAGCATATAATTTCATCAGTGTCATCAAGCGTCAACATAATTTATGAGTCTTGATGGTATCACCGTCTCATCATGGGTTGGACAGAGGAAGGAGTGGATCCCAGCCAGCAATTCATTCACTAATTTTGTTATTTAAGAAATCTCTTATATTTAAAACAATTATCATAAATATACCCTAATCTGCCTTTATTTTGAATCTTGAAGGTTCAAATTTTAACTTTAAGATCAAAGTATCGGTAAGTCTTTGTCATAACCTTAAATCAGATGTTCACATTTTGAATTTGTAATCAAAAGAAACTTCAAAGCTTGAAGAATCGAAATCAACCCTATTCTTGAAGTGCAGCCCCCTTGAATTGTTTCAAAAAAATTGAAATATCTGAAGTTTAGCTTAAAAAATAAATTCGGACTTTTAACATCCAAAGTTTGTACATCATTTAGCCCGCGATATGTTTTGGGAATAAGTTAGAAAGTCAAGGTCCAAGATTTGTTTATGGAATAAATTCGGTCCTTGAAGGGCTATGAAAACACTTATAATTGCAATGATACACAAGGTAAGCTTTGACCCTTGAATGTCCGAAATAAGGTGATAAAAAAAGAGGGTAAGAAAATAAGATAAATTCTCTTCATTTAAATATCCCAAGTGTTTAGGAATTGATGGCTTGAAAAACTGTAACCGATGAGTTACTCTCCTGTTTTGTGGGAATTAGTATTTTTAGAAGTTAAAATTTTTTCAATAAGTAGGAAACATGAGAGAATAAAGCATCACAATGCTTACTTTTAAATATAGATCCATTAACTCTCTCCTCTTCAATGTGGGACAAAAAACCCACAACTTTTTCTCTCTAATAAAACCTCTTGAAGAATATAGTTTCTCTAACATACTTAAACGAGTTAGTCAAAAGAACAGTATTAAAAAAGAACCAACTATTGTTGAACTAAAACACGAAATTAATGAAGTAAAATCTAAACTAACAAAGTTAAAAAATAGAATTAATTCATTAGAATTAACCGAATTAACAGATAATCCTTCTGAAGATGAAGAAGAAATAGAATTTGCTAACCTATTACATAACATTGAAGATAACCTGAATCCTCTAAACAGGAACCCCAATTGAATTTAATTAACAAAATACTAAACCAAAAATGGTATACATTAGTTAAAATAATAGTCCAGAAAGAATATAATTTCCAAACCTTAGCCTGAATAGACTCAGGTGCTGATTTAAATTGTATAAATGAAGGATTAGTCCCCACAAAATATTTTCATAAAACAACACAAATATTAAATACAGCAAATGGAAGTAAATTAAAAATAAATTATAAATTATCTAATGCTGCTATATGTAATAATGGTATTTGCTTAGAACTACCATTTATTATGGTAAAAGGACTAAACATAGCTGTTTTAGGAACCCCATTTATCAGTATGTTATATCATATTATTATATGCCATACTGGATTAGAATCAACAATAGAAGGAATAAAAGTTAAATTTAAATTTATTGATATACCAAAAATAAAAGAAATAAATAATGTAAAACAAAACATACAAAACAAAGAAACTTTCTTATATCAACTAAAAGCTGAAATAAAATATAAAACAATTGAAGAACAGTTGTTACTACCTGAAATTAAAAAAACGATAAGTCAAATCAAACAGCAAATAGAAAAAGAAATCTGTAGCGAATTACCTACTGCTTTTTGGCATCGACATAAACATATAGTATCACTACCATATGAAGAAAACGTTTGTTGAATCTAAAATACCAACTAAAGCCCGACCAATTCAAATGAATACAAGAATGTTAGAAATATGTAAAAACGAAATAGATTCTCTCGTAGCTAAAGGATTAATAAGGCCTAGCTCATCACGATGGAGCTGTCCCGCCTTCTACGTAGAAAATAATGCCGAAAAGGAACGAGGAGTTCCCAGACTAGTCATCAATTATAAACCACTAAACAAAGTTTTAAAATGGATTCTATATCCAATTTCAAATAAAAAAGATTTATTAGATAGACTTCTAAATGCCTACATTTTTTCAAAATTTGATTTAAAATCAAGATATTGGCAGATACAAATTAATGAAAAGGACCGATATAAAACGGCATTTAATGTTCCCTTCGGACAATATGAATGAAACGTTATGCCATTTGAATTAAAAAATGCCCCATCTGAATTCTAGAAAATCATGAATGATATATTTAATCTCTATCTAAAATTTATGATAGTCTACAGTGACGTTGTTCTTATTTTTCTACTGACATACATCAGCATTTTAAACATTTAACTATATTCCTTAATACTGTAAAAGCTGCAGGACTTGTAGTATCTGCTAAAAAATTTGCTCTTTGTCAAACAAAAATTCGATTCTTAGGACATAATATATTCCAAGGTGCGATCATTCCCATTGATTGAGCTATTGAATTTTCTAATAAATTTCATGATGTAATCTTGCCAAAAGTCGAATTACAACGCTTTTTAGGATGTTTAAATTATATAACTGACTTTATTCAAGACTTTGTCATTATTGCCAAACCATTATTTGATCGACTAAAGAAGAATCCTCCAAGATGGACGGATCAACATACTAATGCTATTCGAATCCTAAAAAGTAAATCAAAAGAACTACCTTGCTTAGTTCTATCCGACCCTACTGCATTTAAGATTATTGAATGTGATGCTTC